ACAGTAGTCTTCTTGATCTTTCACAACACTTTTCCTAAAAACATTCAGCCTTTCTCCAGTATTAGACTGTCAAGTTCCCTAGAGCATGACTCCCAAACCATCAGAGAGGACTCTGCAAAGATAGCAACTCTGTGCCATTAACACTTATTTTAGTTTTTTTTTTCCCACAAACATAATCATTGCCACTTTGCAAATGTTCCTCATACCTCTATAGCATAATTTCATTAAAGATAATGGGTTGCCTTTCTCTGACTAGTGGGCCTTTTAAGATTTATTCCTGTCTTTCTAAAACAGTGAGTCATCATACTGATTTACAGTTTCTTCTTAAAAAGTTGGTCCAACCCTGTTAGTTTCTGGAAGAAAATCGTCATCAGAAAATTAGCAAAAACATCCCTAAATTATTTCATGTAAATACTTTGAGTAGTATAGAGTTGAAGGAAAATACAGCAATGTTATTAAGTGCATAATATGTACATATACATATTTAAAATTAAATGTAAGTACTAAATCCAATAGTAAAATTTTGTTACTTCTTAAAACAAATATTTATTGAGAGCCTGGGTAGACTTTGCAAACTGGGGCATCATAATGAACAAAACAGACAAAATCTATGCTTTCATGAATTTTGATACACTATGTATAAGTGAAAATAGGTCATGCCGGGTGTTGTGGTACACATCTGTAATCCCAGCCTTCAGAAGGCTGAGGCAGGAGGACTGCCATGAGTTTGAGGCCAGCCTGTGACTACATAGTGAGACCCTATCTCAAAATAAAATAATGAAATAAAACAATGTAAAATTTAAAAATGTAAATTACTAAAATGTTAAAAATTAGGAAGTGTGAAGAATAAAACAAATGCATTGTAAGGGCATATTAGGAAAGCTCTGTAACAATATAAACATTGAGTTTCAAAAGTAGCACTTCATCAGTTTTATCCTAGATAAAAAGCATGTTAGAGAGAGGATGTACTCAGGGGAAAGACATGAATGTTGTGGAAGAAATATGTTGATGGAAAAGTGGAGTTAATAAGCGTGAAATGAATAGATGAGGTGCTACGCTGAGGCTTTTCAGGCCATCATTAGAACTGTGTTTTCTTTTTTGAGTCAAATAAGGAAGGATGAAAGCGTCCAGCAGAAGGGAAGCACCGCACAGGAGCTCCATGGTGAAAGACTCTTCAGCTCTGATAGTGCGTGCAAATGGAAGAAGACAGAAAGAGACCCTAATTAGGAAGATGATGGTTTCTATTAATTGAGGAAGGAGTTGTTGCCTTGGACTAGGGAATGGAAATGTAGAAATTTAAGACTCTGTTCATTTTAAAAATTTTAAAAAAGCAAGTGTTTGAATGTGTTGAAAGGAAAAGTAAGATCTGAGATAATTCTAAACCTTCTGGAGTGAACACCTCACTGGAGGAACACCACGGTTAACAAGAGTAATGCAGATCAGAGGGGCAGCAGGTTCGGTGTTGGTGTGGTGGAAAAAGGAGGATTCTGCTCTGGACATGGAAAGATGGGCCGATGAAGCGGGAGTGATCGTTGGGAATTCCAACATATAAAATTGCCTATTTCAAGCATAAAAGTTGTAAAGAAAATCCTCATCATTATGAGGGAAAAAATTGTAAGCAATTTTAAATGAGCCTTGCATTTCTCTGGTTGGGAGAAAGTATTAAGCCTTCACACAAACTGCGGCCTCTAAACCTATGGTAAAGGAGAGTTTAGGGAAGTCTGAGAAAGAAAGAGATGTGGCGATTCTTTTACCAAGATCACTGACTATTTTTTTTTTTAAATGAGAATAGAGTGTCTTGTAGATAAAACGTACATTTGAGGGGCGAAGAAACATTTGAAAAATGTTACACTGACAGTTGTCCAAGTGAAAAATATATGAAACTCAACTATAAGGAGGGCACTATTAGCAACTCAATTAATTACTTTATTTATAATATACACACTGATATGAACCCATTGGAGCATTTAACATACTGCTTAAAGATAATCTCTAAAATGTGTATTAGAATAAATTTTCCAATACAAATTAAAGATTATTTATTGAAATATTCTATAGTAAAAGAAAAACGCTTCTTAAGAAAAATGGTAGCATTAACGAAAGAAGCCTTCAATCCCAGAACAAATATAAATGATGAGACAACTCGGTCATGAGTAGAAGTTATATTAAGTATTATACTGTGGACTAATATTCATCAGCTACTCGACACTGAGGGAATAGTGGGGGCAAAGATGGGTAGAGTCCTTTAATTAAAGGAGACCACAAAAGTTCTATTAATTTTATCACTTAAATTCCATCTGTAAAAGTGCCTGCCTGGCAAGCGCAAGGTTGTGAGTTCGGTTCCCGGTACCGGGAAAAACCAAAAAAAAAAAAAAAAAAATCCATCTGTTTTGTTATATTTGAACATATATATAACATTTGTTATACATACCTGCCTAAGGACTTGCAAAGCATAAGAAAATATGATAAGTGGCATATTTCCTTGTTAACTACATACGTGGATTTAACTGAAACTATTTGAATAATTTGTGGGTGTATGACTGCATTTATGGTCTTTTAAGACTATAAAGGATGCTTTATGCAATAAATTCATTCTAGTTAGTTTTAATATGCCCATACATGCATGTATCAGGTACATACAAATTATATTTGTAAAGAAAGACATGTTGATAACTGAAATAAAATAAGAAAATATCCTTAATCCTAAATTGAGTTGTTTTATTCTAAAGAACTTATATGTGTAGTTATAGTTTATCTGTATGAACCTAATGATAAATTTCTCCAATTCTTGCAATGATGAAATATTTTCAAACATAGAGAGAAATCTCAACTATGAACATATATTTATGATTATATAAATATTTTGATATTTTGTTGAAAATAGAACCAATGAGAATTTAGTCACCATTTGTACCAATCACACTGATATATAAACCATTTTTCTATTTTTATGAGCATTTAAATAATGATACAGGAGGACAAGATACTTTTTAAATTTTCTGTTGATATTAAAAGCCAGTTATTTTGTTTTAAATTCAGAATTTTAAGTAACTCATCTCATATTTTTATTTTAATTGATAGAAGAATTGCACACTTATATAAAAGAAGTATATATGATTTATTATTACAACTCTAAGGCTAAGAACATTCCTTGATTTTTATTATAGATGCTCAATAAAAACTTGATGAATGAAGACATAAATGGATGAAAATGAAAATGCCACATTGGTGCAGTGAAATCAGTAATATGAAACGGAGAGACAGTTGTTCCGATCCACACGTAAAACACATTTTGGACATAAAATACTTTATATATTGGGCATTTCTTAGGAAGAGAATTTAAACAGGTTATTTGTGATAGGCATACATTTTGAATTTCAGATCTATCATGACCTTTGATCTTTAACATTTTACCTTCATTTTCAAGAAATACTAAAATGTGTATTGCTCAATAATTTCTGTACAATTATAGGCCTTATATTGAAAAAAATGCCCCAGATCAATGTCCTTAAAGAGAATTTTTGGAAATCTTATTGAATCATGCCAAAAATCACTGGTGTGATCCCTTACTTAGAACAAAAATAAATAAAAGTAAATGAGACAGCAAATTAATGTCTTTTTGAAATCTGAAAAAGGATAATTATGAGACTTTAAATAAGAATTTTAATCAATATCTAATATTATGAAAATAACACTGGAAATTTTAAACTCATTTTCAACCAAAATTATATTTTGAATTATAGTATGAAATATTCATAAGATGTATATTCTTTAAACTTTTCTATTGTTAACCCACTTTATTTTAATTGTGCGCTCTTTCCAGGATATTTAAAATTTTTTTCTACTTTTGTTCAACCTATATGAGCAACCATTTTATGTTTCTTAAATTCTTTTTTCATAGCAATACATCCAAGTGTCTTGGCCTAGAGAAAGTCCAAAAGTACATAGTGCGATGTGTCCTTATTCTTACAATCTGACCATAAGTGGAATTAGGCCACACCAGGGGTGGTATCTCTGTCACAATTAACTACTTTGAAAGAAAAGTATTGATGGCCAGAGTGACACCAAGCCTTTCAACCCAAATATCAGAAAAACAATAATTGTCTAGAAGATTGAAATAAGTCGGCCTTAAGAGTATCCCGACACTGTATCTGACTTACTCCAAAAGCATAGGATATTAATTAATTAGTGAACAAGTCTTTGGTATTGTTTATAATATACTCAGCAGGGAAGTCTGACTTGTTCCTCCCTATCTAATAAAGTATTTCATTTATAAGTACATAATGTGAAATTTAAGAAACGGGAAACCATTTTTTTGCTGATAATCTCTATCATTCTCAGGAACTTTGGATAACTGACTTGTAGGATTTTTATTATTTAAATGTTTTTCTTTTGTTTTTTATTGAATTAGTCACTAACTGAAGAAACAGACTTTGTTACACATAAATGTGTAATGCATTTTCAGAAAGTTGACATAATTGCAATGCAGTATCTTAATGGAATATTCAGCATTATTACTGTCATTACTAGGCATTTTCAAAGTCACAATGGGAGGTAAACATTTTCCATTAAAAGTTTATTTCAGTCTGAGATGTCTGAACTATTATTGCCTGTGAGCCTCAATAGCACAAATGTCATAAAAAATGAGAAAAGCATGTAATTCTTGTAGATATTACTTTAGTGAATATGAACAAAACAAAATTACTGCATTGCTGGTATCTTTAGCACAAAAGTGGAAGTGCTTTAAATTTGTTTGAATGATACATTTTAAATGCTTTAAGAATAATTAATACCTTTGTTATGAAGTTTTTTCTACATCAGAGCATAGAAAAAACTAAATGAAAAAATAGTCTTACCTAAGTTATGTTAATTTGGATGCAGTCTTCAACATTAAATATGTCTCTATCTTCTTACCTGCATTTAATACAATTTTGAGCCAAGATATTTAGTTCATGGAGAAAGTTTTTCATCCTAGGAGAAAAGAAAAGCTGGAGACAATGTAGTTGTAAAAACTGGTTTATTTTTTTAAAAATAAATACAAAAATATAAATATAAAACATTAGCGGATAGAATTTGATGAAATGAAATTGCACAAACGTTTGTATACCAGATTGCATATCACACCTACTAACACCACATGTACATACTTGTAAAATTTAATGTACAGACAGGATATACCTTAATTTTTTTTCTTCATCTTTTTTAAAAGCTTCATTTGCAAGGGCAGGGCATGTATCTAAAAGATGCGGTTTGTGAGGTTGCTTAAGGGACACTATCCTGTTCATGTTTCTGAAATTATCTTTTATTTGCTAAGATGGACAACACTGAATTTCCATAGCTTTGGCTCTTGGAAGTGATTAAATAAAATGTCGTGTATATTCCATGAGACATCCTACGGAAAAGAATTAATTTAATTAATCAACAAATTAAGAAGGAAATGGGAAAAAATATTGTGCTGAGCGGCAGGAAAATTTCTTCTGAATATCAAATATTGTGAAGAGGAGACGGTGTGCAGAAAGCTCTTTCTCATGTTGAGCAGAGCATACACCGCGGTTAGGAGTCTTTGTCGCTGTCCCCGCCACCATACATTTCTGCTAGCTTGTTAAACCGAGGCCCCCATTCCCGGAGGTAATCGTAGTTTTGGTCTCCTTCTGTAGTACCTGATTCTAAGGAGCTCAGAGATTCGGCGATGGAATCGTTGCCTTCGTAGGCGTAGGTCGCCAACGAGTCGTAGGGAGGCGCCGTGGGGTCCAGGTCGTGCTCTCGGAGCCTCTCGTTGATGAAATCCCGCACGTCCGTGGTGTCCGGGGCAGTGGGAGTCCTGCGGGGCACGAAGAGCGTCTCGGGAATGATGTCTCGGCGCAGCTTTTTCTCCTCCATAGCTGCAGGATTCCTCAGGGTGCCGATATCAAAGGCCTGGGTGTCCTCCTCCCCACCACCTTCGTCATTATAGCTCACGATGTTGTCTCTGATGTCTTCTTTAGACAAGATCAGAGGCTCTTTCTTCCTCTGTCTTTTCAGAGCTGCAAAGAGTACTACTATCACTTGGGGGAAGAAAAGACAAGAAGATCCATTAGCAATCTACTCAAACCGTAAGGCGCAGACGCATTCGTGTAAGAGGAGTGTAAGTTACTAAAATTTTTCACGGCTTTAGCATATAAAATGACTTTAGCAATTTCAAAATTTGGGAGTGGTGTGGGGAAGTTTTTAGCCACGTTGGGGGTCCTCAAGAGCAAAATTTCTGATTTATTTTTAGAGTAACGTGAAATAGTCTTTAAATACAGTGACACGATTTATCTATTTTTCTAAGAACCTTTTAGTTTCTGATTGTATAGAAGATATTGATCTTTTGGAATCCTGACTTAAAATGTTATGTATGGATAAAATGAACTCAGCTTCAAATCAGACAAGAAAGGATGAAATATGCCCACATTTTAAAAAATCCTTAAATAATATTAGAAATCAATATTTTTCAAGATATATGGAGGAATGGTAATAACTTTGTGATGGATTTAAATAGTTTTTACCTTATTAAAGAAGACTTATTATTGGAGAAATAAGCAAGCTATTCACACATAAGATGGGTTTTCAGACTTACAATGTTTTCCTTGGAAATATGTATCTTGTGACAGAATTTCCTCTAAATTGTTAGTCCATATAACAACAAAGACCAAATTCGGCTGACTACATTGAATTAACTCCAAAGAAATTATGAAACGGGGCTGTGTCCCTCTTAAGCAAATGTAGATCCACAAGTAGAAACCATATTACTCAGAAAAGACATTTCTACATTTCTATGAAAAAGTAATAAGAATAAAAACAATAATGTTAATGCCCATAACAGTGGGAATACATAAATGATAGGAAAAATTTAATATTAAATTCACCTGACTGCTTTAGAATTTTACACAACTATTCACTACATCAAAACATTTTTATCCTAATCCTTTAAAATAATTTGGAGAGACACAAAAATTCTATTAGATGGGAAAAGAAAGAATAAATCTTATCATCTTAAATACCTATATTAAGCATCTTTAAAGAAAAAATGTTGAAAGGATAGGAGAATCTTGTTATAATACCAACAATTACTGAGCTTTTAGAAAATATATATAAAATGCTCAGACTACTGTCTTCAATTTTGCATGTCAGCAAAAAGAAAAGATATTTCTAATCTTGACAAAAATGAAGGTTTATGTGCACTGTAAGTATTCTTTGCCTTAGAGTGATTTAAAAAAATAAATCATTATAAAGGCAGAAAAATGCAGAAATCACAAGTCATTCAAGTTTTTGAGTAAATATCTTTCACTTTTGTCTAAATTCATGTATTAATGCACCACCAAAATGTATGATAGAAAGATGGCAAGACTAGCTTTGGTGGTTTTTTGTTTTTTGTTTTTTGTATTTTTAATCAATCTTAGCATCCTAGGGGAGAAGAACTTCTACAAATGAAGAATGAGACTTAATGAATGAACTTCAAGTCCAAGATCATTTCTCTGCTTCTGGGAATGTCTGCATGTTTTTTGGTTAGGGTCAAAGGGATACTACCAGCAACAGTTTTAAGCTAATGCAACAGAAAGTAAATTTAATCTGACTTTTAATTCAAAAGCAGTTAAAAAACAATTTACTCTAGGTTATTGAATCAAGTATAATTATGTGGAGCACAAGAAAATCAGGTAAAGAGCTATTTTAATATTACTTCAACAAAGATATAAGACAGTGAGGCCTCCATACAGGGCTAATAAAGAAACGCGATGGACAGAAACTTAAGAGACTGGAGACTTGAGAATACAAGGTCTCACAGAAGGGGCTTTGGCTCACATACTCAGAGGTGTGTGGCCTTGGAAAATGTTTTAAATATTTTTAACTTGCAGGTTCATTATGTATAAATGAGATTAATCACTTTACACACTGCATACTTTTTTGTCAAATAATAAAATTAAGTGATGATTACAATGTTTGACATACAATAAGCACTTAATAAAAGTTTGTGACCATTAATGAAATTTTACTAGGAATTTTAATTTTAATATATTTCAAAAGATTGAATTTGTCTATTTAATGTAAGATACATTAAAATATTTTACATAGATTAAATTTCATTTTAATTAACATTTAATTATGCATATTTACAATATACTATTCAAATTTCTATTCATTGATTCAATTACTGTAAAGCAGGTTACGGGGCTGGGGGTTTAGCTCAGCGGCAAAAGCGCCTGCCTGGCACGCGCAAGGTCGTGAGTTCGGTTCCCGGTACCGGAGAAAAAACAAAAACAAAAACAAAAAACAAAAACAAACAAACTGTAAAGCAGGTTTATTAGCTTCCTTTTTTATTACTGGAAAGCCAAATTATAAAAATAAACTTTTATCCATTTTTACATGTCCTGTTAAATGTAATGACATTTATTATTCTTTTCTATACATGGAAAAGCCTTATTCTGCCTTATTTTCCATCGCAAGGAAATATAAAATGCACATTTTTAAATGAGCATTTTCACTTCCTGAACTGTATAAAAATCTAAATTAGCCAGGATTTGTGGTGCTTGCCTGTATTCCCAGCTATCTGGGAAGCTGGGAGGCTGAAGTAGTAGATCACAAAGAATAATCCACTTTTCATTTATTTCAGCACAATACTATAGTGTGAATATGGTGTGATAAATGCACCAAAATTGAAGCCTCTATTTGGTTGCTTTAAACAAATTAAATATATGATGATGAAGTATTTTAATACATTTTTATTACTGTAGGTCCCAACTTCATATTATAACTTGCTCCATAATTATAAAATATTACTAAAATTTATTTTATAGTATTATTTTCAAGTTTAAAACAGGCTAAATCGTTTCATTTAACTTTGTTTTGTAAATATGAAAATTTGACAATAGCTAAATATGGGATGTTGGTAGAAAATCCTTCTGTTCTGACGACTTTTTGAATTGTGTATCTTACAATAACTGTCAACTTAAACCTTATCATTGTGTAATGTTAACTGAGCTTTGCTAAAGTCTAAGTTTCAGAGTTGGAATTGAAACACTATTATATTCTTCCAGCTCACCCAGCTCGTACTATCCTCTTGAATAGGAGTGCACTAGCACATCATCAAGGAAGAAACAATGGCATTCAGTATGCTTTTATACTCTCAGGAGAACAATAACAGGCCGGGTACAAAGTAGTTGGGTAACTGGGCGTGGATGCGTCTTCCTTCATTGTTTCACTCAACAAAAGCTTCAGAGAATACTTAAATCCATCAAAATAGCCATCAAAAGTTGCAGGAATTGCAAGTGTGTACCTCTCATCATTCCAAAAGCCATTTTGTTGTCCCTTTTCTTTGACTTTCCTTTATTTAATGTATTGTAGTGAAAGATATATTTATATATAGGCACTATAAAATATATAATATGTAATATATAATATATATTGGTTTTTTAATTCACATCTGAGTTTTGAATTCATATCCAATAAATAAAGGCCAATGACTATATTCACAAAAAAACTCTATATGTTTATACATTGGTTTTGGTTAATTGAGACAGGTAGTTCAGGCTGGCTGAGACCTCACTATATAGCTCAGGCTGGCCTTGAACTTGCAGAAATTCTCCTGCCTCAGGTTCATAGCTTATACATTCTGATCAGGTAGAGTATCTTAATATAAAAAATGTTCCATGTTTAATTTACATATCCAAGTTTGGGAGATAGTTGAGGGAAGGTATTTGAATAGTGATCTTTCCAACTTGACAGCATACTACACGATGCCGGCATTCTTTCAAGGTCCTTACCTAGCAGAATAATGATGCAGAGGAGAATGGCAATCAATGCCCCGGTGCTGAGGCCAGCAGGGAGAAGCAGGGCCTCCGCGCTGCAGGACTGCATGTTGCCTTGGCTGTCGCAGGCGCACACTCGGATGCTCAGTGTGCCTGTACTGCTCTGGATTGGGTAATCATTGTCTGAGATCACCACAGGCAGGAGATAGGTACTTATTTCATGTCGGTTGAAGCCATTCTTTCTTGTCAAAATTCTGGCAGTGTTGTCTAAAAAAAATTTAAATATGCATATAATTGGACCGGTAGATTTGTCTCATCCTTATTGCGATGGTTTGGCATAAAAATAAAATTTCTTCATATAAAATAAAGAACTGTTATGAATGTTACTACTCAATATGCTCAATACCACATCTTTTTCAATATTATGGATTGTTTCTTCACTACATTTTCAAATAATTACTCAAGCATGGTTACAAAATGGTGAATTTGTAGCAATGAATAATTTACCAACTTTACATAAGTGAGGAGATTGTGTTTTTTAAAAATCACGTTATTTTTTATTTACAAATGTGTGAGTGTGTACATGGAACATATGTTAATCCAATACACATGAAGAAATCATGATTGTATACATTGCATGCATTGCTGCATTGTTCCAGTATATAACCACCTGCAAGAAAATTATTTAACATAATATATATTATTTAACACACACACACATTTTATATATATATATATATAAATATTTGTCTTTATATTTATATATTATTATATATATATATAAATATATATATATATATTTGTCTTTTTGAGGCAGGATCTCCTCATGCAATTCAGTCTGGACTTGAGCTTACTTTGTAGCCTAGGCAGGTCTTGAACTCCCAAAGATTCTCCTGCCTCAGCCTCTGGAGTGCTGGGATTACAGGTGTGCACCACCACACCCAGATAATAGTAGTTTTTTGTTTTGTTTTTCTTTTTGGTTTTTGGTACCAGGAATCCAACTCAGGACCTTGCTCTTGCCAAGCAAGTGCTTGTTCCACTGAGGTATATCCTTGGCCTTTTATTTAACATTTCTGAACATCAATTTATGTTTATTCATCAAAGTTGAAATTTAAAATATGTGTATAATATAAAGCATTGTTGGAAGACAGAAAGACCCAGTATAATGATTGTGGACTGCATAATACATTTTCACAAAGATGTAAGGATTTAATACATGGTAATGTTTAACTATGTAGTATAACTCTACTGATTTTTTCTTTGACCTAATAACTCATTTAGTAAGTGGGGGTTAAAAAGATTTCTTCTAGTCCTAAGTAACAAATACTTTTAAAGACACTGAGTATAGCACCTTCTATCTTGTTTGTTTATATAAAGAATTTAGTCTTGGTTAGTGGGCACTTGGGGGTATATAAAATGCCAACATAAGGAAAGGAGTTGGTCATTTGCTAAATTAATAATCGGGACAGAAAACAAAGTGATAAGGCTTTGGAAAGATAGTGGTTGAATAAAAACTAATCATTTTCTAAATTATTAGCCAGAAGTTAACTGCATCAGTTGACTATATAAGCTAGGGAAGCAGCAACATAAAGTATACATAAGCAAGTTTTAAAACATCATTCAAGATGCACTACCATCCATTTTTGTCCTTCTGAATCCCACACTAATAGTAAAATCAGCATGTCTGTGGAGAGTTTCCAAAAGTTCTTACCTAATCTTTTAAACTTTTCATGAACTTATTAATCTTAATTTTGTAAACGTTTCACACATTGAGGAAAATCATTTTTTACCTTAAACTAATCATATTTCAAATTATTTTATTAAATATTTATAAAATCATAACACCATGTTTAATATAACAAGACACAACAAACTATTTTAAAAATATATTATTTCATAATATCAAAAGTATTTAAGATGATAACTACAAGAAGGGTAATACTAAGGTGATGTCTGTGTCAATGTAATACCTTTATAGTTCACCTAAAAACAGAAAGTAATGAATTTACACAGGATTAAATTAAATATTCCATCATACTTTAGTGGCATTCTATGTAGTAAGATATCACTGTTTAAATTCATATGGGATTCTTCTCTGCACTCAGTAACTTATATAGAATCAAGGACTTATCCTAGTACAATGAAATGATAATGTTTGTCAAAAATTAATTAAGGTTAATCTTCAGTGGTTTCTCTAGTAACTTTGAAATGCTATGTTAAGACAATCCTGTTTCAAGTCTGTATCACCTTTTAACACGCGGTGCTCAATTTCAAGTGAACAGAAAGCAAATTTAAAAAGAACAAGGAGCAGGTAAGATATTGTCAATTCAGTACTGTCATTTCAATATTGCAAATTCAGCACTAAGGACAGCGACTGCCGAAATTATGAAGTTCGTTGATCAAGCTCAGTAAATTAAAATGTAGGATGTTGTTTACCTCAAATTCAGATTCGACTTTACACTTTAGAATTTGAACTTGCCATTTTTTTTTCCCAATCTCATTATAACGTTAGGTTCATAGAGTGACAGAACACACGGACATTTCAGATATTTGGAATTAGTAAAAACAGATTTCAGGGGATACTGTATCTTCAACTGATTTGTGCAAAGATTATATTAGATGCTATGTCTTAAATAGTTGCAAGAATGTGAAATAATTCACTGTCTCAAACTATTTTCCAGGGCTTAAACGACCACTAAGTACTTATGTAGTGCGTAGCTCTACCAACTTGTCACACATTGTGAGGGAAGTATCGTAGCTATGATCATGTATTTACTAGACCTGTTGTGAAATGTGTACATTTGCTAGTATTCTACCACCGATGTTCGTTCTAGCAAACACTCTGAGGCAATACATTTAACATAAAATGTTATTAAGTAGAGAAGAAACTAATGCTGTACTTTTGTTTAAAACATTTCTCATCATATGTGTTTATCAAGGAAAAATACTTTTAAAAATTTAAAAGTCATGAGCATTTTCATATCTTTTCTTTGGAAAGCATTTTTCTAACTTTTAAGCAAACAGGAAGTATAATTTGAGTCTTGAAATGTGCATGTTGTAGAGGAGAGTGGCATAAGATGTAACTGCAAAAATATCATTGCCCTGAATATTCCTACAAGCCACTGCGGCTCGTTTTCATTTCCTCACTTGTATTTTACGCCAACATGGTTCAAATGAATTTGTTGTTGCTAAATATCATCAACGTTTGCATAGCAGTCTGTCTTTCATTTTTTTTCTGATATTGTACCCTTTTTAGTTACAGAAGCTGTTACTCTTCCTAATAATATCAACCTTTACAGTACATGCAGACCTCTGTAACTTATTGAATTATTTTGAGTTCAACATACTACACAGTCAAACAAGACATCATTGTGATATATTGTGGAGTATCTGAGAAATACAAAATTTTGTAACTCAAATCAATCAATTGATATTACATATATTTTACTGCTTACTAAAGGGGAAATTTTCCATTAGTGTCATTTTAAATAATAGAGCAAAAGCTTTACAGTTTACCTTCATTATCTTGTACTGTGAAGTTTGGGTTGACAGCAGCTAAACTGAAGAAAAATTTTTGTCCACCTAAGGGGTCATCTTTGTCCACTGCACTTATAGTCTGTATTAACTGCAGAAAAGAGAAGGTTATGTAGTGATCAAATTTCCACATGCATAATCTGGTTTGTAATATGCAATTTTAACAACTCAATCTTATCATATAATTTTAAAGATATAGTCAATTTTATTCCTTGTGCTGGAATCTGTGAGTTAATTCATCTTTATGATTTTTTAATTTAATGATCTCATTATTTCCATTCATTTCGTCTCTATATCTCTCCAGAATATCATCTTTCCCTTGCAGTGATAAATGATAATGCATTCTATTCTTTGAAGTTGTATAAATTGAAATGTGTCATATAAATTTGAACGTTGATCTAGCAGAGTACATTTAATATGGAAAAATTAAGGAAATTATTTTGAGTTTGTCATTTCTTTTCCAAAATAAAGGGCAAAACCTTAATAGAAGAAGGTCAGTATATATAAGATAAGAAGGTCAGTAATATACAGGGGATTAATTAATATAAAGGGGGTTAATATAAACATAATAAGGTCAGTAATATAAAGTGTTACACTTTATATTACTTTTAAGAACAAACTCTTAAAAGGTGCTGGGGATTTAGCTCAGCGGCAAAGCTCATGCCTGGCAAGCGCAAGGTCGTGAGTTTGATTCCTGGTACTGGAAGAAAAACAAACAAACAAACAAAAAGAACAAAATCTTAAACATTACTTCTACAGTTATTTCCCACTCAATTGCACTTTCACTAAAATTATAGTTTTAAATTGAACATACACATTATGTGGAAGAATGGTAGATAAGGACTAACTCTAATTGATTTATGAGGTACTAGATAATGTAAGGAAGCTGTCAAGGATCAAAGTAATTTAACAGCATACATAATCAATTTGAATATTATATGATTATTACACAAATTCATATGATATATTTAATAATATATCAAATAGATATGTTTTTGGTACAGATTCTCTTTTAACTTACATATATAATACAATTTCTATTTTTGTAAAAGTTTTATATGGGTTATAAAAGTTCTTACAGATCTATATATCTATATATGTCTTTATGAATAGTCAAACATATGCATAACTACAAGGAATATATTTCTTTTGCACTAACTCAATTTAATCATTTATGGGTTTTGGTGAAAACATTTGCTGCTGAATTTTTACTGATGTAAAGCACTACGAAATTCATGTTAAGAACACTGGGTAAAATAATTTTAAAAATGCAAACAATCATTATAATCATTCTGTATTAAATTACTTTTCTCAAAAATGAGTTATGACAAAAATGTGACAAATATGATAATATGATAGTATAATAAATATGATAAATGATAAGTGATAATATGATAAGTGAAATATGATAAATGATAATATGATAAATATGATAAATAAGTATTATCCTACTTTATTCAAATTATAATCATTTACTTCAATTGATTCAAGAAATATAATTAACTGCAAAAATGTTGTCTAGAAACAATCAAGAAAAAATGTTTAAAAATTTGAATTACTTTAGAACAATTTAAACAATATGTTTAATAAATTCGAATTATAATAAGAATAAATGGGCCAATAATTATAAAAGTATAATATATACGTAAATAAATTAAAATGAAAATGTCAACATAATACTAATTAATACTACTTAAGATTTATTAATTCCAAAATGTTCCTTGACTGACTCGTTTTACAAATATAATAGGTGTTTCTTTTATAAATTATGATTTATGAGAGCAATGTGCACAGAGAAAGTGGTATTCGTCAAATAATGTCAAAAGTGCTACATTAGTAGAAATTCTTAGATTGATTAATCACTAAGATTAATATGTTAACATATATATAAGCACAAAAGTGACAAAAGCTTAAAAATAGAATTAAAGGTCTTTTTAAATAAAAATATACAATATCTCGAAATAAACATTTGTGACAATAATTACAAACTACAATGCCAGTTCATTGTAGTTCATAGTAAAACACTTCTGAGGACACATTTTTATACTTTTACCTAAATGTATAAGAAATTATAAATTGGTACATATTGACCTTACTAAATTTATTTTAATCAAATGTTATTGCATCATTGGTATACAGTTCAGTGGTTAATGGACACACTTTCATTAACTATAAAAGCAGTAAGTCAAATACATTAATGTTACAAAGAAAATAGAATCACATGGGAAGAATTTCGATCATACTAGAACATATTTGTGTGTATAAGACTGCTGCGAATGGAGACACTCTCTTTACAAAATGAAGATTTTTTTCCCCTTTAACACATAACTTGGCCTCTATTGTCTACTTTCTTCATACCAAAAATTTATTTCCCAATCTCACCTTGGCATTTTCAAACATTCATTCAATGTCCCACTACTCTTCTTTCGATAAGCATGCCATAAAGAGTTGCAATAGAAATCTGATGCGGTCAAACAAATATAATGAAAACCATGTCCCTTGGTGCTCTCTAGGCTCTTACTATATTATTTCCATTGAGGGCCAAATTCATTTCAATCCTATTCCAGTGAAATAGTTTACCACAGTTTGGAAACAAATATAACTTGGAGATATCTAGTATTCATTCTTAGCCCATGAAAACGACATACCGGTTAAGTCTTTCTAGGTTACCTCCCCAGCGAGGAAATATTTAGTTTTTATTTTTACATACTTCATGAACTTGTGGACTGTTTCAGTGATTGCACTATCACTGAATGTGAAATGATGAATGGATTTAAGATATGTAATGATGGTAACCTAGTCATTATATATTATCTTTTTCTGTGGTGAGACTAGGAATTTTATTCATGAATGTGTTCCTTTGTTCTGAGGAAGTGTAGGAATTTTGATGAAGTAATTAGATATTGTTCTATGGAAAATATATATGGGATGTTTTTGCCTTGATATAGCCTTATTTGCTGTTTGTTTTGATATATGCTACCGATTAGTACTTGGTTTGATAAGGTGCTAAGATACTATTGAAGGATAGAAGTAGCAGTGTCTTTCCTGAGGTGACTCTGAGATTAAAGTGTGATTTCTTCCCTTAGATACAGATCTCTGAGATAAAAGTTATGGAATTCAGTAACACAGTTTAGGCCTAAGAGAGGAACATTAATATTACATCAGTTGCAAGTTGCGTCCCTCTTTGTAAGGTGAAATTTCTTCTATACCCAGCCAAAAATAAAACCATACAAACAAACAAAAAAACCCAAGGCAAAGGAATAAAAGTAGGAGGATGTGAGAGTTAGTTTTATTTCTATTTTACTAATTTGTCCACATACCTAATGAGTGAAAGTATTCCCTATGTTGTTCTAAGTGTTACTTAAGGACCACTTAATTTTGTCGATTGTACTGAGATACGCTATAAATAACTAAAGCATACTCACAAATCCTAATATGTTCTTGCTTTCCTAGGAGGATAGGAGACCAAGCTAAGAAGTGAATTTCTCAAAGAGTTCAGTGAAGAAGTTTGTCAAATTACTTTGATTTGGTATGCTTGGATTTTATAACCTAGAATTCTGTCAGTTCATATGTAACAGTTTTAATTAAAGAAAACCATGCTTTAGTCCATAAGATAAAAATGACAACAAATAGTTCTAAAAGTAACTAGTATAGGGGACTAATATACATGCAGCAAGTTAGACAAGAATCATTAACAATGTCCTACCTACCAAGTTGGTAAAGGTATTTGAACTGTGTTTTTCAAAATAATCTTTTTCTTAAATATTTATTTAAATATGCCAGCAATTTTTTATATGCTCACAAGGTATGAAGTCATTATTAAATGGATCATAGTTAACTATGGAAAACACATACAAAAGTAAACAGAATTCATTTTGTGTATTTTTTTTCATTTTGTGTATTTTGAATATATTTGTAAATCTGTATTCACAGTGATTCAAATGCTGTGAAAAGATATCTCTTGAAAATGAAATAGAATAATCATAACGGGAGCAATACATGTAAGTAATAGCGGTTCGGGTAATTTATGTCTTAGCAAAAAGATTTTAACTTATGTCATGCTGAGCCTGCCAAGCAGAGGACTATTCGACATGGTATTTTTAGGGTAGACATGTTTTCATTAAGAAGGAAGTTAGAAGGAGCAAAGTCATTTAAGCGTTCCAAATTAAACATTACCATAACATTTTTAAATAAAAAATAAACGAGTCCAATTGCAGCAATTTTACCATCTCAGACAATGGACAGGCGATTGAATTCCTGTTAGAGCCTTTAAAGGAAAGAATTTGAGTTATGGCACAATATAATTTGCATAAGAAAGTCACAATGACATTGATGTTTATAAAAGCATTGAATGATGTCAAAACACAATACGGTTTTGCAATGGCTTCTCTTTCTTTAATAAAGCAGATTTGATTTCCAATTATCATTTATAACATTCAGCCTCCTTCTGTGAAGATAGCACTCAAACCAATTAAGAGCATTTCTTTTAGCCATACATACTGCAGCTTTTCAAACAACAAAATGAGTCCAGTGAGGAAAAGTTATAAATAATTATAAACAAGGGTGACACAGGAAGAAAGTTTTAAAGGGTGAAAACTGAGGCATTAATCACTTCCTGTATCAATGTAATTGTGAAAAGCAGTGTGTAAATATAAAGACCAAGCTTGACTGCCCTCCTTCAACATATGTTTGCATACATATGAACATTGATTGTTTTCCTGATCCCATACATTTGGGTTGTTCTGCACTCTTACTTCCAGCTTCCCTAGGAGTTATCAGTATGTATCTAATGGACACAGCAGGGATATTCAGGGCCTTGTTTCTTCCAGTTATTGAAGTTTTGAAAGTTAATGTGATTTTTTTTCCTTATTTTTCTCTACAGTTAACAAAATATTTTATTTATTAATTATTTTAGTGCATATCAGTTATACAAAGAGTGGGGTTCATTTTGCCATATATATATATATATATATATATATATATGTAATACACTTTGATTGTTTTTATTCTCTATGATTTTTCCTCTTTCTGTCTCCTGTTAATGTTATTTCTCATATCTCATCGTTTGTGCCAGTGCTAATTTTTGCTTTATGATTTATAAAGAAACTATGATTCTGGTACACTGTTATTTAAAATATTTTCAACTTCAAATACGTCAGTCACCTTTTGAAGGTATTATTTTCTAGGTACATGTTTAAATGTTTAATCATATCTCTCAAGATTGTGAAAGAAACTAGCCCACAGCTAAAAATTGTTCCATGTTTTTAACTCCGTAGTTGCTCACCTGTCCTGGTCTGGCATTTTCACATACAAATGTGTCGTAGAACACAGCAAATTGTGGGGCATTGTCATTAACATCCAGAATTCTCACAAAAACAGCCACACGAGTTGTCTCTTTGGGATTGTCTAGAAAGGAGAAGAAAATTTTGCTTAGCAAGATGTTTGTTCATTGGATTTAATTTATATTTATTTTATATATCTTGCAGATGTTGTGTTCACATATAAAGAAGCTTGCATTCATTCTAAAATAATGAGCAAATGCAATAAAGAAAATTACCACAGAGCCTAATTAACTAATCATGAATAGATTGTTACTGGGCACAAGAGTATTATTATTATATTGAAAAATCTTTGTAAAACTACAGCCCAGAGGTACTTATTTCAGATTTTATTTGTGCCTTTACTATCCCAATATATAAGATAAGAACAACTATTTAGTAGATCTATATTATATATCACTACATCATTTAATATTTACCATTTTTAGATGAAGAAATATTTTTAAATAAATTATTTGCTCAAGGTCACTATTTTTAAGTGGTAGTTGTTACACTACTGCCTAGTCCTTTCACCACTTTTATCACTAAAATGTATTTTAACAACTATTATAAATATCCATTCATAAAGTATAAAATAAGGCTAGTAATTTTACAATTTTTCTGGATATTTTACAAGAAATCACAAAGAAATAATTATTTTTTATTAAAGTCATCACTGATAACATTTTAAAAATCCAAGCATTATTTTGCTAAAAATTGTATCCAAGCTATTTCAGTACAAAGATAGAATACTGGTTTTGTTACAAATGCTAACATCAAGAAATTTAAATTGTGAAATGAAATGATGCATCTTAAAAATACTTTTTCTCTAAATGAATTTCAAAAATATTAATATCTCAAATGAAATTTAGGCAGCAACCTTGTATTCCTCCTCCTTGCACTATCCTATTTTGGATTTTCTTGGAAATACTAGTAATCTCTAAGAGTGTTTTTGTCTCTAAGCTTCAGATTATACTCATTTATCTTTCATAATGTCAATATTTCATTCCTTGGATATGCATGAACTCTGAAAAACCCAAGGTGAGAAAGAAATTTCCATCCTCATGTTCATCAAGTCCTATAGAAGAGCCGACAAATAACCTAAGAGTCCCACAAACAACTAATGGATGGACACAGAACAGTTGTATTTATATAAACAATGGAAGATTATTCATTCATGAGGAAGAATGAAATTCTTGCATTTGCCAAAACATGAATGGAGCTGGAGATCATTACCTCACATGAAATAAGCCAGAAACACAAGTAGCACATGATCATGCTTATGCAGAAATTTAAAGAGTTAATTTCATAGAAGTTGAGTGTAGAATCACAGGGACCAGATGCGGGGGAAAGTACAGAGTGAGCAGAGTGGGAAAAAATGCACTGAAGGTCAGAAAGCTCAGGGGAGATAAGAGGACAAATTTCTGCTGTCCCATTGCACAGCATACGTTAGGGATAATGGCGCTGTAGTGTATATTTCAGAAAACTAGAAGAAAGACCTATGAAGGTTTTTGCCATAAAAGTGATGACTGTTTGAGGGGATGTCTTTAACTTGATATAAACATCATGTAATATACGCTTCTATTGAAAAAATAAATATTGTATGTATTTATTTAAAAATAAATTTTAATAATAGGAGCAAGAGGCAATTAGCTAAAAACCAAACAAACCCATAGAAACTTTAGGAATCTTATTAAGTGATATAATCCAGCATATGACATGGACATTTTTTACTCTTGGATAATTTATGTGACTACTTAATTTTATCTAAATCAATGTCTAATAAAAATTGTAAACAGTTACCATATACAATTAGAGTGGTCACTGTGGCTGAAAAGAATCTATCTCCTTTCATGCAATTGCATTGTTATTAAAATAATGAAATGAATAATGAAATAATTTTAAAAATGATGTACAAGGCCTGGTATTTTACCAGGCACTTTTGCAAGGCTGAAATATTACAAGGAAAGACAAGAGGACTATAAATCCATTTACATGTATTCACATTCACTCCATCTTTTAGGGAAGAATTTTTTTTTTGAGGCAGAGTCAGTCTTATGTATGTCAGGCCGGCTCCAAATGCACAGCAATCCTCCTGTCTCAGCTTCCCGGGTGCTTGGATTACAAGTATGATCCACCACACCCAGCTTCAAAAAGAAATTTAAAATATAGGTCCTTCTGCACTCTCAAGTCTTTCTTCTGTTTTAATGCACGTGTGTTAAGTTTACAGGTTCTAAACTGTGTTTGATGATGTTCTGCTATAAAGTGGTTAAGAGTGTAGGTACTGGAGTCTAACTGAGCTGCTTTGATTCCCAAGTCCAACATTGTGACTTTGTCAAATTTACACCATTTACATTTTTCTAAGGGCCAGGGATATATCTCAGGGTCTCAGGTGCCTGCCTGGCAAGTGCAAGGTCCTAAGTTGGATTCCTGATACAAAAAAAAAAAAACAAAAAAAAAAAAAACATCTTTCCAGGGTCTCAGTTTAGTCTGTATGTGTCAAAATAGATCTGACCTCACAGAAGTATTGGGAAAATTAGGTGAGTTAAGGCAGGAAGAGTTATTACTGGGGTATCAGTTTGGTGATTAGCACTTGGTGCATCTTCGATGTTAGCACCGTCACTTTGTTATCAACGTATCTCCTTCATCTCCTTATTCTATGCAAGAGTACATGCTAACTTTCTCCATGTGAAGTATTCACGCAATAAAAACTTAACCAGCATTCTCCAAATTCACATGTGTCTGAAGAAGGGTATATGAAGAAGAAATAGAAGGAAAAGAAAAATTTAAAAATGTTATTCCAACATTTTCTTCTCTTTCTAATTGCTGGGCTATTTGCTCGTACCAAGAAAATAATATTCACATGTAAATACCTGCATATTTGCTGTTCTGAAGAAGAGTATGAGAATATGTTTCTTCAATATCTAGAAGAATTTTTTTTTTTTTTTTTTTTTGGTTTTTCTCTGGTACCGGGAACCGAACTCACAACCTTGCGCTTGCCAGGCAGGCGCTTTCGCTGCTGAGCTAAATCCCCAGCCCCTAGAAGAATTTTTAACCCCCTCATATATTTATTTTAGTGAACATAAGCAAACTGTTTCTAATATGAAGTTTAGATATAAAAGTGAATGTTGGTGGTAGCAATTCACTTTCTTTTCATGCAACTGAAAACAAGAGAGAAAAGCTTCACATCTAACAAACTGCATTTAGACCCTTCCATAACACAATGCGAAGACTCTTTAGCCTCTCTCTAATAACTCAAGGCTCTTCAAATCAAGCTAAATCTGTGAGGATGAATGTGTTTTGTAAAAGCGTCAGGCCTGGAGTCACCTATTGAACAAACAGTGCTCACACTAATCTTTTTATGCTGACAGATGCTGCAGCTTATGTATAAATAAAACTATAAAACATTCCAAAGAAGAATCATGCTGAATAGCAGCTGGCATATATTTACCACCTGAGTCCACCTCAAAGTCCTTCAAGGAAATTGTACAGTGACAAAAAGTGTACCTGCAATAAAAGATCTCAAAATGTATGCCCTAAAGGAAGGCCACTCCTGCATGTCACAGGCTTTTCTATGCCTCCTAAAAGCTGAAAACTTAAATCATTCTCTAGAAACTCAAGGCTTTCAAATAATGGAAATTTTCTAGCTGCGTAGGGCAAGAATTTTCACTAGTAGAGAACCAGGCACAGATAACGGAATCCTTCCATCATAGACTTTGCCCTATTGTCCTCAGAATGTATTATAATAATTAGAAAACAATTTTCAGATGTAATTAAAGGAAGGCACTACTGTTCCAACAAATGTATTCTAAACTCACAAGTTTATTATTAAGTCCCAATTGTGGCTTTAATTTTAGACTCTTCATTCTCCCTGTGGCATTTAAAAATATTTGTCAGTAAAAGAGAATTTTTCCATGAATGGAACATAATACATTAAATAATTACTTGTACCAGATGGTACTTGCCACATACTGTGATATATTCCTGTGGAATGTAGAATTAAACTGTTAGAGGCAGGGCCCGGAAACACATCAGTAAGAAGTACATTTATGCACCATTATGTCCTGCTCAGGGTTTGGCGTGTGACAAACCTACCATAAAAGTAATGTTGAAAGTCTAGTAAAAACAATTCCTTACACGCTCTTTCCTTTCCACCCTTTTTGCAATTATTACCCAGAACAACAGCGGAACTCTGACTGCTTGTGCTGCAGCAGGTAGACATTTCTGGCAGTTGCTTCACAGATTGATTTCATTTAAGGGCAAAAATAGATTTAGTTCTTAAGAAGATGTAATTGACAGCTTTTCAGACTCGTAATTACTTCAAGTAGCTTTAGAAGTTACATTTCTCAAAGTATTTGAAATAGAAAATGCAATTCCAAGCTCACTGGACTTGAAAAGGGATCTTGAATTGAGCACAGAACACAACTGTGATTGTGGAACGGCCAGATTGGGTGGTGTGGTTGGATGGTGGTGTACATACCTAAATATGGGGATATGGATTCAAAGTCAGAAAGAACAGCTTGCCTTAGAGACAAATATATTTTTATAAAAACCTCATTACTTAATTTTAAAAGGCACAACCATTTATACCTCTGATTAAACTACACCTTGGGGGTTAATCAGTACTTCAGAGCCACACTGGTTAAAGAAAGCTAGACCTATTATTTTAGATGGAAGCTTTGAATAGATTGTTTATGATCTGCCCAGACTCCTTTTATCCCCCAAGACTGGTGATTCAGCCTTGATGTTTTGCCTTCCAAAATCTAGAATAATTATTCAAGTAAGTTGACCTTCAAACCTCTTTCTGGATTTAGCTTAGTGTTTCATATCTGGAACATATAGTCTTAACTTTTCACCATGACTCATTCCCAAATGAAGCCCTCGATTTCAAGCATCTCAAGTTGCTCTGCTTCCTGTACACCCTAGTGTGGGATTAGAAACCTTGAACAGATTTGTGTGACTATGTATATATGATTTCACCTGTTGTCCAGGCTTTTGGCATTAAAAGAACCACTTTGGGGGCTGGGGATTTAGCTCAGCGGCAAAAGCGCCTGCCTGGCAAGCGCAAGGTCGTGAGTTCGGTTCCCGGTACCGGAGAAAAAGCAAAAAAAAAAAAAAAAAAAAAAGAACCACTTTGACTTGAGCCTTTGCTCTTGTCAATTAAAATTTCTCAATGATTTTTATCTTTAACAAACCACTAGGTATTTTAATTTGATAGTGGGTTCCACAAATGATACAGGTCATCCTGTGTGGCGAAGACCTTTTGCAATAAAAAAAGATGTGGTTTTGAACCCCGGCTGTTCTGGCCTTTCATTGGATAAAATTTCATAAATCACATGTACAATTAAGCAGTAGATCTAAAAATGGAATAAATGGGCTCAAGTCCCAATTTAGTATTTCTGGCATTATAGTTTGAGTAAGGTAATAATGCTCCAGGGACTTAGATGCACTTCCCTTAAATGAGGTTAATAAAAATATCAACAACAGGAAACTTAATTTTAAATTATTAGAAGGATTCCTGGCACACTGTGCTTATCGTTGACTACTATTACCGATATACACCTGGATTCTCTCATCTGTGAGCAAAAAATAAGTGCGTACATGTTGGTTAACCGTTAGTGATAAAATTTCATGCAACAATTATCATAGATTCTCATTTATAGTGTCCATGGCACACATTTAATACATTTACAAGCTTCTTTTTTTTTTTTTTTAATTTATTTTTTTTTTTTTTTTTTGGTTTTTCTCCGGTACCGGGAACCGAACTCACGACCTTGCGCTTGCCAGGCAGGCGCTTTTGCCGCTGAGCTAAGTCCCCAGCCCCCATTTAATACATTTAATGTGTCTTCAAATATAAATATTTTAGATGCATGTTCTAGCTTATTTTTATTACATAGTGTTAAATATAGATTTGCAGGTACTGAAAGGTGTCAGAAAATAATGTACCAAATATTTGCTTTTATCATAAGGATTATTTTCAGCTGAAGACATTTTTAAAAAGAAAAGAAATAACAGATGGTAGAAGAGCATGCTCCTTCTCCCTCTTCTTTCTGAACACAGAAAATAAAATCTTTACAGGAAAAATACCTCCCATACCATGAGAAGGGTAATATTTTAAATACCCAGGCAGGCAATAGAAGACAATTAAACTCTGTACAAACGTATATCTTTGGTTAGTTTTCCACTGGTGCTTATACTAGTATAAAAATATTTTGTTTTGTCACATTTTGGATTTTCATTTTTTAAAAGTGTCCTCTTTTACATAAAACTTAAATGAATTTATCTTCCTTTCTTCTGTTAATCTGTGTTAAAGTAAATTTAGTTTTCAAGCCCAGTAAAAAGGCATGCCAGGAGATGTCAGACTTTGTTTCCCATACCATACTATAGTTATCTCTTAGTACTATAAATACCAAAAAAGAAAAAATACAGATTTTTGAGAGAGCTCCCACAATTTTAAATTAAAACAGATTGTATAAGCATTGACCACTATTTTAACAGGAAATAAAGCCTCTACATGCAAAAATAAATGAAACTATGTAAACATAAACTGAAAGCAAACACTTATATTCTATAGATAAAATGTATCTTACTGATTTCAGCAGCTATAACAGTAAGATTATGCCATTGAGATAATTCTCGGTCAAGAGGTTTTGATGTATATAGCGATCCATTTCCAGAGTGTATGTTAAATATTCTGTCAAGGTCAGTATGGCGATCCAAAGAAAATCTGGACATATAGGGGAAAATGCAATATTATTGATGGTTTATGAGAGAAAATGACAAAATGTAAAGACATATATGTAACTAATAATTACAGAAAATAATACTAATCTAGAAAATACACTGTATCATCAGTTTATCGTGGATATCCATTTAAAGTTTCAGTCCATTCAATCTACAAAGTTGGCAATCTGTTCTGTATTGAAATGTTAGTCTTTCAAAGTTTTTTAATATAAATCACTGTCTAATGTCATATAAAGTCAACTAACTGGCATATTTGATCATAATATAGCATGCATTACATATGGTTACATTATCAAGTGATTTTATTTGATAATTAAAGGATATGGTGAATTGCTACAAATATTTATTGCAAAACATCAATCTCAAAAGCTCGGTCTTTGTTTTAATGAGAAAATTAGAAATATATTTTTGTCAAACTAATAGGGCATTATCTTTGGTGATTCACAGTTAATGATATATCCATGTAGTTTCAGCACTTTAATGATATGTAACATTATAATGTGTATATGTTTTACGGAGAAATCAAGTAAAATAGGTTATCCTGGCAAAACTACTTACATCTGCATCAGATAATTTCCATATAAACTTAATATCTATGCTGCAAATTGATTGCAAGCATTTGTTATACATCATTTTGATACATAACACCAGGTTTAGGAATATGGTTGATATAATTAGGATATCTTTGTTAAACTACATAATTTACCTTTCACAAATAAACCATATTATTGTATCCTTACATCTTGAAAAAGTGAGAAATTTCATCTCAAGTTGAAAAAATTAGTTCAGTTCTCAAAGTTTAAATATTATTTTTCCTTCCTCTTTCTAGTCGTACCCTATCCAGACTAAAGCACAGTATACCACCCATGTTTATTCATCACACTGTATTTGAAATTTATTTCATCACAATCTTAAAACAGAAATTGAAACATGAAAATATCAACCTACTATTTTTTTCTTTTTTTTTTTTGTTTTTGTTTTTTCTCCAGTACCGGGAACCGAACTCACGACCTTGCGCTTGCCAGGCAGGCGCTTTTGCCGCTGAGCTAAATCCCCAGCCCTCAACCTACTATTCTAGTAGGTCTACTACCATACTCTAATAGGCACTTAGTGCATATTATTCGATTCTCATAGTGAATATTCCTCTCAAAAAGAAAGAGAAATCCTTTCTTTTTCCTCTCTCTCTTTGAGACAGGGTCTCACTACACAGTTCAGGCTGGCCTTGAGCTCACTTTCAATCCCAGGCTGGTCTCGAACTCACAACGATCCTCCTGCCTCAGCCTCCCGAGGGCTGGGATTACAGGTGTGCGCCACCACGCCAGGCAAAAGAGAAATTCTTGAGAGGCACGTAAATATATATTATGATGATTTACAAATATTCTTTAAATGAAAGAAAAAGCTATTTAATTCTATGCTACATTGGCAAATAAAGTCCCTTAGTTCTGTATATATGACATAAGATGTTGATATGAATATATTGAGAAAATGTATCAATTTCACTCTATTAAGTGAAACTACAGGTTACAAAAGCATATATGTGGCATTGCCAATTTTTTAAAAATAATGCATTATTTATAGAGATATGAAATTGTCTCGAATGATGTACATGTAACTGCTTAAATATGGCTGTGGGATTAAAGTCCATTGTTCATTTTGTTCATGAGTGTTTTTTGACATGCTATTTCTAAGTGGAGGAAACCGAACTGCTAGAATTATGTGAATTGATGAATATGTTAATTAGCTTGACTTTAATCATTTCACATGCTATACTTTAAATATAAATACGATTTTGTCAATTGTAATCAATTAGATTATATAAAAAGGAAATGACACTATTTGCCATATGTAAATTAATATATAGCCTCTCATACCACACCAGTGATGTTTCAAATCTGCATTGTGCGTGTGTTTTCTTAATTATTTTTTGTAGATCAGTAGAAAGAAGACAAAATTCAGAGGATTATGGGACACTATCTTTGAGATAATAGCTCTTTTTTCAAAATTTATTAACAGTTTGTTCATATTTTCTTATTATCCCTTGGAAAGTTATGTGTGTTAACTCATTTCTACTAAAAATCACTACTATGATACATAATTTACATAGAATCTTTGATTATTCTCTTAATACTTGGAATATATCACATAATTTATAACATATACAGTCCGATCCATTGAATAAATGCATTGCCCTACTAAAGCTATTTATTTTTGAATTTTTGCAATTTTCCTATGATATTCATCTGGAATTGGTTCCAGGGTCTTAGTGGATACTAAATATGCAGATATTCAAGCTGTATATATTAACTGGCTATAATTTTTACATTAAATTAGGTATATTTTCCTATATACTTTAGATTATCTCTAGATTGATTACAGTATCTAAAATGTTGTAAATGCTACCTAAATAGCAAATAAATTATGCTGCCTGGGGATTAGTGACTAGTATTTTTTCCAAACATTTACCATTGCTGTTGGTTGAATTGGAGCATGCAGAAACTCCAAACTTCTGATACAGGTCAGAATTATACGTGTGTATATAGACACAGAAACATGCATATGATATTTCTATTTAATTTCTTTGGCTGTATAATGCATATATATTATAAATGTGCATGTCCTATTAAAACAATGCTATCTACAAATATTCATTCCATTTTCTACATCAAGGTTGCATAAAGTAAAATATTTCACAAACTTCAGAGAATACACTGTCATTCATAAGCAATACAGCTGTGAATTCTGTTGAATAAGTTATATGTAAGGTTCTTTCTCCTTGGTCAATAAAAATGTGTCCTTCTTAAACACATTGTTATTTTTTAACACATTGTTAATTTTTAAATAACATAGATGAATTTTCACATGTAATAACTATCAATGTACATGAAATATACAGTGTATTTTGTTTTATGGTATATTTCATTTCATTGCATCTTAAAATTTATATTAATGGTCTAACTTAATACTACCTGACAAATTTATTTCTTTAAAATATTACATATCATTTATAATATTCATCTTGAAATGAAGAATCTAGAAGACAAACATAAATTAGGATCTCTGCAAAGAAGATGCATAGTAAGTATTTAATGGGAAATTTTAACCATATATATTGGTAATTTAGAGCCCTCAAAAGAAAAATGCAAGGGAAGGAGCAATTTAGCAGAAAATAAATGGATGAGAAATGAAACATTTATAGGTAAATTCTGAGGACTAATGAAAGTATTATGTGATTATCACATACACGTCTCTTCTGCCAATATGTAAACTGTGATGCCTTTTTTTTTTTTTTTGGTTTTTCTCTGGTACCGGGAACAGAACTCACGACCTTGCGCTTGCTAGGCAGGCGCTTTGCCGCTGAGCTAAATCCCCAGCCCCGATGCTGATTATAAATATGAAAACATATACTTATGCAAAACCACATGGATCATGCACAAGTTTTCATATATTATAAAGTATAGTATAACTTTACTTGAAGATTGGCACTGTCTGTAGAATTTTTAAGTTCACTCTAGCTAGAGTCCCATGACACATAAAAATGAAGGTTCTATATATGACATATCTGCATGAACCTATGGATAAATTCAGAAACTGTACAAAGAACATATGAACTGGTATGTCACAGGCTCAATTTAAAGCAAAATCAGCCTGGTAAAATTAGGGAAACAAATACTATGTAAAGGACATGATGGACTAGCAGAGTAAGCATTCATATTCATGCTGAGTACTGAATACAGATGCATTAATGCAAATGATAATGAAAACTTAGGTCTTACTTTTAAATGTGTCTATCAAATCTCATATGCTTTTAGGGCACCAAACGAAACTCAAAAACTGTTGAAATGACTGTTCTACCTAGAAATGTAGAACTTTTTTAAGTAGCTAAAAATGAAGACAAAAACAAGGGGAAAAATCTCTGAGTTTGATGACTGGAATGTATGTAGATTTTTTAAAAACCATTACATAACTGCATTAGAAACTTTCGGACTTCACATATTGTTAAATGTGCTGAAGAACACAAATACAGTGATTTGGTTACACTGCAAATGCACCACAAACAAAGTGTTCTTACTATGTCACAGGGCTGAGAACAACAAATATTTTAAGGACAGAAACATGTTACAAAGTAGGTTTCAGCCTAACAGATATGATAAGAATGTGGAAATTATAGATTTTGTTCAGATTCTGCCCCAAAACAGGCAATTTACCTTAAGTTGTGCCATATACAAAAATTATGCCATAGATAGATAGATAGATAGATAGATAGATAGATAGATGATAGATATAGATATATTCACCAAGCGGCTCCTGTGTGTCTTGGTGCATTAAATGCTTTAAATAAAATTTCATGGTCTCAGTGTGTTTCAGTTCCATTCTTTTACATGTCAAAGCAGGTGTAATTACCTGATAGGGCTGGAAGTGGAATCCGGGTCCCTCGCCATTACAGTGCCAATGATTGTACCCACTTCAATGTCTTCGTGAACCTCAAACAGGTAGGACGATCTGCTAAAAACAGGGGGCTCGTCCACATCTTCTATAGAGATTTTCACAATTGTGGTATCTTTGAATGGTCCTAGGTAGTAAAAACGTGGATCCACATGGGTGTTTTCTGCTTCAACCTTTAGAGTATAAAGTCTTCGGCTTTCATAGTCAAGTGGCTGTATAAGGAAATAAATCCTCCATTTAGAGTAAATGAAATTGAATATTATGTTCATTTAATGTTACAATACTGTTTGTAAAATACTGGTAAAGTTCTACCATGTTGTTCATTAATTATAAATAAGTAAAGTAATACAGATAATAACTGAAGTTTTAAATATTATGTAGGTTTAATTTTTTACATTTTTATATATTCAACATGAAATACTTTAGAACACGGAGAAGTGAGATTTTACTCTTCAGAAAAATTCAAATGACATGAAAGATTATCTCATAATGTGATGACTACAAAATTGACTTGGTAGATTCTAGATTGTCTTTTGTGTGCTGATGTACTGGTTATCATTAAATTTTTTCTAAGCAAAAATTCAGGCATTCTTTAAATTGTCAGTTATTTAAAAATGTGTCATAGGTAATTGGCTTATGGTATCACACAAGTTTTACAAAATTTTGAAACCTAACACTAAAATTTTAATTGTTAATTGAAACACTGAAGAAAAAGTGAAATATATAATGAGTAAAGATACAATCAATAGAGATTTGGCAATTAGGGTATATTACAAACAAAAGGTGTACTTTAAATATGGATATAGCTTAACTGTCATGAGTATAAAATCGAGTTCCTTGTTTCACACTGACTTTAAAAGACACATTTTATTATCAGAGATAGACACTGTTGATTGAAATTTCATCACCCTATCTGAGAAGCTCTGGATTTTATTGCCATTACCGCTACTTCCTGTTCACAAAATGTAAGACCTGTTTCAGGCTTTGCTGGTCAATTTCAGGTTAGTATCTGTCTTTAGCTTGTGCTTTGCAAAAGAACTCTGAGATAGTTTTATCATTGCACAGTACTTGGGATGTCAGTGTATGCACATTTCTTTAAGACCTAAATTCCAATGTGCTTTTATTCTTGAATTGATGGCACCTACTCTACAATTAAAAAACTAGTTACCTTTAAATTGTGCCACTGAACATATGTTAGCAGAAAAGTGTAATTTGTATAGCAGAAGGGAGGATGTGAACAATTAAATTATGTTCCAATTCATTCTGTCTCTTTTTATTAGAAACTCTAATTATTGCTTCATGCATCTGGGCAGCATTCTACTTTCTATGCTTCCAACTGTGATGATATATTGCCATTATTAGCTATTAGCTATTTTTAAAGAACACAGTGTTATTATGGTGGGTTTTATTAACGTGGCTTAGAAATATAATTATACATATATTAACTGAAATTTTGTAAAAGTCTGAGTTTTCACGTTTCAATTGACAGAAACATCTAGTCACCATGTTTAAGGAACTCTTCAGCTTCTTATCCTTCTCACGTGTATAATATAAATTACATTTAAACATGATGCTGATATTTCTTTTAAAACATAATGCATGAGTACAAAGTACATAATGAAATCTCTACTCTCTAAGCATACAGTTTTTATACAGAAGCTCTGCACCTTTTTGACAATTATGATGCCCTCCTGTGTGTCCTTCTCTGTTATAATGTCAAACATATCTGTCCCATCACCATCGATAATTCGGTATTCTACTTCAGCATTTTTCCCAGTGTCTGCATCAGTTGCTTTTACGCTTCCAACAGCCGTGCCAACAGGGGAAGATTCTAGAACTCGAAGATGAATAGTATCTATGAGAAATAAAGGACAGAATAGAGAGAGATGAATGAAGAGATTTATCAATAGAATATCCAAAATCAGACTGTTTAAGAGATTTTTATGAATTTTAAACTTTATATGAAACTTTTACTTAAAATGTAGACTCTATTATGCCTATAATTAAAGTCTGAGAGCAGAAAAAGTGGAAATTTTGAGTGCTTGGTTTTGTACATATAATGTGAACAATAAGGACAAACCTCTAATAGTATTGGAAATTCTGGTTCTAAAAACAAACTTGCTTTGCATGATCATTTTCACAGATATCATCGGATTTCAACCTGTACATATATGTGTTTATATAACACACATATACAATCACAACCAACCAGAGGATATATAGGGAATATTTAATTTAATTGTTTCTACTATGTTATATTTAGTTATTTAATTATCATTTTTATTTTAGATTCCAAAAAATACATAAGAAAATCTCAAAAAATCCTTAAGAACCATACTGCTATTTGTGACAAACAGAATCAAGATAGTCTGTGAGAAAAATATAAAGATGCCCTTCACATTGTCAGGATGAAAACACTAAATTCTAGGGCAAACATTTCTTCATTCCATGCACAAAAAGACTTTACCTAAGCCCTTGTCACTAGAGGTGCTTCCAGCATGAACAACCTCTACTGCTAATGAGATTTATGTTTTAACATCTGGTCATAAATTATGTACTCCTGATGGGTTAATCAACTGTAAGCACACTTCTGATTATAGTACCTTCTTGCTCATAAACCTTAAGTAATTCTCCTTAATATACATGATTATGTCCAGAATTCTTAGGTAGTCATGATACTGTCTGGGTTTACCTTTCCAAACATATTTTACCTTTAGTCACATCCATGAAATATTTGCATCAAACTGGATGATTCCATTTTTCTGATTAAAACTTCATTTCTTTCATCATTCTACACATGTTCCTCATGGTATTTTTGTGGATGAAAGTCTTTTGTCAGTACTTTCATATAATTATAATGCAGTTCACCAACTACATTGTTATGTGCCAAGTGTTCATCAGCTACACCATACCGAGGAGAAAGACCTCAGAAGAAATAAACTTGCTGACTACATGATTTCTGAAATCTAACCTGGATAACTGCAATAAAATACATTTCCGTTGTTTAGGTCACCTGGTCTGTGGGGCTTTGTGGCAGCACTAAAAACACTTATCTACTTGGTTTTAGCACTAAATTCCTGGGAGATGTCAATAAAATTCAGTTTCTATCACACTCTAGCTGGTCTGAACCTATATTGTTCTACATTTTTCTCTGGCTGATTCTTCCATCACATTACTGGAAAAACCTCTCAGTTTATACTCTGGCTTCTGCCTTACTGTGTCTTTCTTCTCATACACTCTAGCCTTTGCTGTCTCTCCTCAGACATCTCAACCCTGTACATCCTGACAGCTCTTTTATATTGCAGGGTTCCTCTGCTCACTTCCTCTTCTTCAGCTGCCTGCTCCCCTGTGTCCTCCACAGAAATGACACTTGCATTCTGTGTGAAAAAGCTAATCAAAATAGCATGCTCAGTCACACTTCCTGCCCCTTCCCTTTGCCAAGCATTAGGTTATCTACTTACTTGTTTCTGTGAACCTGGAGAACACAAAACAAGCAGGCTTTTTGTATTTTTTACCTTTATATTCTCTACAGGGTCCAAATGAGTATTGTAGCTACTATATATAAGCATTTGTATATTGGATAAATTGCGTGAATATTTGATATTGAACACAAGCTTCCGAACTGGTCTACTAATTCTTTTATGTAGCCAACTCCAATTAATACTTTCTTTCCCTTCACATTTCATCCACATTGCTCCACTTGAAAACACTTATCCTATCAATCATTATTCAGAGCTTTAACTTCTAACTGCTCTCACTCTACTTAAGGTAAAATAAAACATCTATTGGCTGGACAGTAATTTCGCTTTCTGCCTGCTATTCTCATTAACATTTTCCAGGATCATTTGTCTCCTTGCAGTTTTTCCAGAATGGTTTACTTACTATCATTGAAAAGATTTTCCCTCCTCTTGAAAGATTTCCCCATACAATTCTTTTCTGGTTGTTTGTTTAAATTTTTTTTGTTTTGTTTTGTTTTTCTTCAGGTACCAGAAATCGAACTCATGACCTTGTGCTTTGCAGGCAGGCGCTTTGCCGCTGAGCTAAACCCCCAGCACCATCCCCTTACAAGTCTGTCTGGCAACATTTTCTCTTTTCTTTAACATAAATATATATCATCATTCTTCTATTATACTGTACATCCATTCTAGCCTACTTACTGAAAAGTCTTTCCTTAAAAAATTACATCTTCTAGAATCATGACCTCAAAAAGGAGATTTATTACACTGCAGCAAAAATTACCTTATGAAATGGAAAAGAAGATATCACTGCAGTACTGAAAGATTTCATTGTTAATGTTATATGTTTAAATTCATTATTTTATTTGTCAAGTCTTACACATTGGATCTCTGTTAAAATTTTCAGAATCATTTTTATCTATTTTTAAATCTAGAACATATAGGAAATGCAGTCGTGCAAATATTTTTCCATCAAAGATTAGTTAACCTGAACAAAAATTATAAAGGTATGCAATAATTACCATAGCAAAACATAGGATGAGTAAATTGATTGTCTTTACAACTTCTAGGCACCATCTAGACAATACAGATGAAGTGTCCCCCAAAGACTCTTGTCTTGAGAACATGATTCTCAGTTCAACAGTCCTCAGAACTGAGGCCTAGAGAGCTGACTGAATCATTGAGATGTCAGCCTCATCAACGGATTAATCACAGCTGAAGTTCTATCAGATGCTGGGACCCAACTGTAGAAAGTAGGTCCCTGGTAGTGCGCCTCTGTAAGGTATATCCTGTCCCCAACCTCCTCTCTCTCTCTCTCTCTCTCTCTGTCTGTCTCTCTTATCCTTCCCTTACCTTCTGCTTCCTGACTAATATGAAGTTATCAGCTATTCAGTCTTATGCTCTTCCATCGTTATGTTGCTACCACTGCACAAGCCTATAAGCAATGGAACCCATTGACTTTGGACTGCATCCTCCGAATCCATGAGTCAATATAAATCTCTCTTTCAGTAAATTGTTCCAGCAATGGAAATATGACTTATATAAGTAGTTAAATTGCACTTTGAAAATATTAGTGTATGCCTAACATTTTGTCGCAATTGGATTAAATTTATATATCTTTGTTAAGGATATCACAGAAGTGGTGTATTCTGAGTGCATCATATTTTATCACAGGTATGGGATGTCAACCCGTCTTCTCACCAAAGAAACTTGATCACTTGCCTAATGCATTTCTGTCAATTTTCCTCATTGCTAAATTACAATATTTTTCTTTCTTTTTCTTGGGATAAATGCTTTAACCTTCTTTCGTCTCAAAAATATACCCACTATTTTTAGCATTAATCAGTGATCTTGCTTGCCATAATGCATATTGCAGTTTCAAAAGGATGATTTTGTATTTTCTGGACTGAGATTCAGATGTATCAGTTGGAATTTTTCTGTAAGGAAAAATCATTCCTTCCCTCCATTTTTAAGAGTTATTTTTACCATTTATTAATATGAGTATGTATTTATGGTCATTTATGATATTCTACATGGTATAATACAGGTATATGGTTATTTATATCTGCAGATTGTTCTATAATTAACTAATGGGTGATTGTTAAGTGTGATATTGGTGCCTTTCTATATACTTCCCTTGTTCTTTCACATGTTTCCTAAATTTCTGGTATCACAAGACTTTCTAGGTTCTTCTTCGAAGCTCCATGTCCAACACCTGAAAGCAACCAGGCTTCTAAGTGGTTTTGATTTTTTTTCTATTGAAGGAAAAACATACATGCTAAATATAGCACCATATTTCTGAATTTCAAAAATGAAATGTTTGCTTCAAATATGTAAATATATGAGATTCATGAGGCAGTTACCTATTTTTGCTTGAAATAAGAAATCTGATCTTATGTTTTAACATAAAAATTTAAATAACATTGTTTTGTTATGTTTGATGAATTTTGAATGCTATGATTTATAATATTAATATGTAAGACATTTCAGATTAAGAGAAATCCTATATAGTAATAAGAATAAAATCATTCAAATAGGAAGGCTGTAGCGGATTGATAACTTGTGGTCAGCTTATAACCCCCAGCTGAACTGAGTAAGCGTGGTGCTCGGTGTGAGGCCCACCTGAGGACTGTTGCCAGCAGCATAAGAGGCAGACCTGGAGAAGAACTAGGCTGTTGGGAGCTGAGAGAGGCTGTCGGGAGCTGGTAGAAGGTATAAAGAGTTGTTGGTTCTGTTGGAGGAGCTTTTCATGCTGGCTTTCCTGATAAACTTGGCTGTTTTCATCTTCCAAGGAGCTCAGGACCTCGCTGGCATGGAGAATGGCTTTGGTTCACTTTGGGGGAGCTCTGGTCCTCACTTTGAGCATCACTTCCTGGCTCCAGAGAGGAATATGGTGCACTGCCGGCCTCCTGGAAAAGTTTGGTATGCTGGCTTCCCTGATGGGAACTCAGCCACCTTTATCATCAGAGGAGCTCGGGACCTCACTGTTGCCCAGGATGGCTGTGGTACCTTTCAGGGGACCTCTGGTTCTTCTGAGCATCACTTCCTTGGCTCCAGTGAAGATCCCTCAGCCTGCTAGCAGAGATCTTTCATCCTGCTGGCACAGACTTTCTAGATTCCACCCCTGACCTCTGGGCCTTCCCAATGCAGATCCATGAAACAAGCCTGCGTGAGATACTGTTATGGGCTCTGGGCCTCCAGCTGGATTCATGGGATGCATCGTTATGGGCTCTATTCAACTGGACTCATGTAGGACATTATTTTGGGATCCAGGCCCTCAGCTGGATTCCTGGCCTATAGTGTGTGGACAGATTTCCTGTATTCTCTTAGGTATATCATTCTTTGGGTGATTATTATAAATAATCTTATAAAATATGTGCCCTATATTGTATTGTTCCCT